ACCATGGTGTGGTTTTTTCCTTAAGGATGTTTCTCCAGAGCTTTCTCCAGATTTTCGACGGTTTCATTGAGTTCTTGAACGGTTGTTATTTTAGATTTATCGTCCGTTGAGGAATTTAGTCCATATAATAGAAATGGAAGAAATTCTAATTGAATAAAGGAGGCTGTAAGGTGTAAGAATTTTTTGACTATCAGCTGATTGTGTTTCCACATAGAAGGTTGTATGATAATGAGTGCAATGCTGAAAAATGATGGTGTAGATATGTCACGAATTTCTTCTAACTACGCCTCTAAGAAAACATTTGATCAGTCCGCGAAAACTCATGAACGCGATGCGGCAAATGCACATTTTTTTCAAACATTTTTAATCGATATCTTAATATTTTTTTTTTTGCAATTATATTTAATTTCGAACTTAGTAATTAAGTTGGTTAATGCCTCTGTTATTTAGTTATAAAGTTTTTTTCTAATAAAATCGAAATCTAATTTACTACCCACGAGTTCCAATATCAGTTTGCTTTAAGATTGCTAATTAAGAGCGAACAAAACTCTATCGTTTTCATAAAATCTCAGGCTAAATACTTGAAACTAAATTCACACATACCATAAACTTGTTTATAAACGTATTTTAACTTACATACATATAACCCTTAAAAGTTGATTAAGCATAATTAAGTTCATACAAAAAACTGCACACACATGCAGTTCGAATTTATTTTATTTTTTTTTTAATAAAACATACCTACCACCTAATTAAATACATACCTCGAGTACATATACGTATTTATAAAATATTTAATTTTATTTATTTTCCTTTTATATATTAAATTAAAACCAAACCAAAAAAAAAACGATATCAATTGATTTTTAATAAATTTGACAATTTTTGTGCTGAATCGCAAAAAATATATTACATAAATGCATAAATATTTGTAGGAAAGGATGTCATCGGTGCCTGGTTATCTATGAAAAACATAAGAATGTTCTTCAATATAAAGAAAGTGAGTGCGAAGGTGATAGTATGTATATGCATCAAACGAATCCATCTGCCTTGGCGATGCGTAGCGTTTTAAAACAAAGCGAACATAGGGGGGG